CCGTGATAGAGATATTAAGGCGTTGTTTAGTTGTTGTTGGTAAAGTTATGTATTTATGACGTAACTTGAAAAGTTGTTGTCCACCTCGTCAATTTTACTTTTGCTAATAAAAAGACTCTGAAACGTTAATGGAAAATCTCGCTATCCGTAAAGTTGAAAACGGCTCTTGGAGGTCAGGTTTTTCCGACCCACTTTAATGACCGTGATAGAGATATTAAGGCGTTGTTTAGTTGTTGTTGGTAAAGTTATGTATTTATGACGTAACTTGAAAAGTTGTTGTCCACCTCGTCAATTTTACTTTTATATTTTTCTTTGTTTGTTTTTTATTCCATTGGAATCATAAATTGCTTGTTTGGTTTGCAAATGTAACTTTAATTGTTTGTTTAGAAAGTGTAAAAAGTGGTCCCTACTCAAATGATCATATTGGTTAGAATTATTTTTTATTATTTTTTCCTAACTTCAATGTTAGCTTTCTTCTAAAATCATGTCTTTTTTTTATGAAATCACTTTACAAGCTACATCAGCATATGAAATCACTTTACACTATTTTCAAAACTACAAACAAACAATTGAAAGTGATGAAAGCTGACATTGGGACCCACTTTTTTACACTTTACATCCTTTTACATGGTAAAAACATACAACCAAACAGCCCCTAAGGGGCTGTGTTTGGGTCAGTTTTTTTTGGATGGGTAAAAGGGGGAAAGCTGTCAAAAATGTCAGTTTTTGGCAGCTTTCCCCCAAAACCGTCTCTTATAAAAGCGATTTTTGGGGAAAGCTACCAAAAAGCTGACATTTTTAACAGCTTTTCCCCTTTTACCCATCCAAAAACCGGAACCAAACAGGGCCTAACCAATCGTAGCTTGTGGATTATAGTCCTCTATTTTTTTGGTTGGTTATTTTTTCTTTTTTTTCTTTTTTTTCTTTTAATATTGTGGATGGTTCCGAAAAAATTAACATTTTACTGGGATTTCTTTTTTTAAATAATTGTAGCTAAACTATAATATCTAAGCTTCTCCTACACTAGTAACACGGAAGTGTGGGGTGCTTTCACTTAGAAAGTGTGGGGTGCTTTCATTTAGATTTCCATTAAAATTAATGAGCCATCATAGACCTCACAATCACAGTTTGGAAAGCATAGTCATCAAGCTAAGTTATCGCTGCTTTTCTTTCTTTTTCAAACTGTAGATCTGAATATAAATCCCTTATTTTAAGAGAAAACAAGATACTGAAATTTTGATTTTATATGTTCAAGATGTGATGTGACGAAATAAAATTATCTTACGTGGATCTTTATAATTAATGGATTGGGATGAAAGTGACCGTAACTTGAATTATCAACACATCTATTTTCTTTTAGACTCATATCTTAGGGACTGTTTGTTTCAACAAGGGCTAGGAATAGGATTAGGAATCCTATTTAATTTATGGATTCCAATCTAATCCATAAAAAATTTATAGACAAGTTTTAGTTTTATGGAATCCTATTTTTTTTAACATTCAATGTTTGTTTCACCCAAAGGATTAGGAATCTCACTTTTATAGAATTGGTCCAATTCCTAATACCATGTTTGGTTCAAAACGATCCTTTTTTTTGGGATCGATACTGTAGCAACAGCTAGCCCATTTTATATTTAAAAATCACTGTAGCAACGGATTGAAGCCACAAAATTCAGATTTTAAGCAATCAACACTGTAGCAACGGCTATTTCCAGATCTCAAAATTCATATTTTAAAATTCTTAGGCAAAACACTATAGCAACGGCTAGTTCAGGGGCATGGTGGCTATAAACTCACCTTGAGGCCTCAAAATTAATCCAAGCATTCTCATTTTTTAGCAATTATAAAATTCCCATTGTCTTCAATTTGATGCCCCGACATGAAAATGATATCAGAAGAGTGCTGGAAGAATTATGAAGTTTATTACGACTGCAATCTCCGAACACCGATAAAAGTGTGCAAGAATGGTAAAAATAAGGGTAGGTGTTATTGGGGGTGTGCAAAATTCCCAAATAAAGAATGTAATTTTTTCGAATGAGCTGAAGAAAGAGGAGAGTCATCAAGCAACCAAGGAAGCCAATATGTCAAAGAAAATAGGTACGAAGATAAATATATTTTGCAATCAAAGAAGCTGAAGAAAGAATTGAGACTTGTCAAAAATCAACTACTAGCTTGGAAATTTTCTGCAATTTTCTTAGCAATTTTTTGTGTTATTTTAATTATTACAAACTTCATGTCATGTACCTGTACTTGCAAAAACTATTGAGGATGTAATGAAAACTGTTGTTTGAATTGGGTACAAATTCTAATTGATATTGTATGGCTCAGTAATAGATCAACTTATCATCATTGATTGCCCCACCTATAACTTACATGTTTATTACAGATTGCATTATAAGGATGAATTGCCTCGTCTAGACATTGTCAATTCAATGTAGGCTGTAATCTCATCCCCTTTTGCCTCATCTGGATATAATAAACGATGTAAGTTAGATTGTATTCTCAGTAAACGTTGATCATCATCATTGCCACATATCAAGTGCAAGGAGTTGCACAATCTCAAAACTAAACAACAAGTAACCCACAGGCAAGGAAAAACAAAACAGCAACACACCCAGCAGCAAGGAGCTACGCAAGCTCTTAACAAAATAGCAGCAAACCCAGCAGATAGGGGGTAAACAAGCAACAAACCCCAGCAGCAGCAGGAGCTGCACAAGCTCCAAATAATAGGCACAACCCCAAAGAGCATGAAAGATACACAAGCTCAAACAAAACAGCACCAAACCCCAGCTGTAGCAGGAGCTACACAAGCTTCAAATAACATGCACAAACCCAACAAAGATTGGAGCTACACAAGCTCAAAATAAAAATATCTATAACCCCCAGCAGAAGCAGGAGCTGCACAACTGAGGAATAACAGGCACAAACCCAAAGAGCAAGGAGCTACACAAGCTCAAAACAGTTCAGCAACAAACCCCAGCAGCAGCAAGAGCTGCACAACTGAGGAATAACAGGCACAAACCTAAAGAGCAAGGAGCTACACAAGCTCAAAACAGTTCAGCAACAAACCCCAGCAGCAGCAGGAGCTGCACAACTGAGTTTACTTGGAAAATTGTTAAGTTGTATGTATTTAATTTACCTTAAAGTAAGGAAAATAATTTGAGTTGTTTGCAATCTCCTCGGGAACTTCTTTTGGGGCTTGCTTCATGTATCGATCACGTAATCCATTCATTGCTTGCAGGACTTTATTGAAATACCTGCTAATTGTTTCCCCTGATCTTATGAACTCAGTTCTTATTATTCTATTTTTAGTTTTGTGCCCAACAATACTTAGGAACATAGCAAGCTGTTCTTCAACTTGAACGTGTCTTGTATCTTTTAATAAACCGTTTGCTTTCATTACTTCAACAAGTTTAAAAAAGACATTCGGTCTCATTCTAATATAAGATTGGCAGCTATCTTGATAGCCCTCTAGTACACGTCTGAAGTGAGCCTCTCTACAATATATTTTTCTGATCTTTTCTTGCTTCGTATAAGTTGATATTCTCTTGCGCTTAGCACGTATTCTCAAAATACATGTTACCAAAGTGACCACGGCGCAGACAGCTGTATTAGCACACATCCTCTTCAATTCTTCCTCATCTTCCATATCCATCTACATCCGTTTAAAAATCCTCATACAGTTATAGCTTAAGATGGCTGCTTATTTCTTGGTTAAATTAATTAGATAATTGATACAAATTTTTATTTCTTCAAAAGCAAGAAATCTAATTGAAATGAAAATTATTTTAACTAATGTTGCATTCTATCTCACACAATTATCAAGAACAACACATTCTACTACCCGGTGGATTTTTATGTAATGAACTTAACCCTATTCTTTTTCATGCATTCACATTCTTTGGTAAACACATATATTAAAAACAACTCATTCACACAAATATCATGCATTCTATTTCACACAATTAACTGATATTTAGTAAACATAACCCTAATTTCTGGTAATTATTCATGTAACGAATTATCAAGAAAATTATCATTCTACAGATACCATTCATCACATCAAGCACGAAGAAATAAGTCTAAAAAAGAGTGCAAAATTTTATAACTAGCCGCAGAGGGGAAAAAATGCCGACGTCCAAGCAACAAACCCACCGAAGTCAAAGAACCCACCGTAGCCAACAATCCCACCCGAACCAGAACAAGTTCGAGAAGGGATCACCAAGAATCAAAGGCAAGAAACCCACCAACAAGCTCGTGGAAAACAAATCAAAGAAATCACGGCGCAAAATGAGGCGGGATCAGCTAGGGAGAAGCCGATTACACACAAAATCGGCCAAGAAATCATGTCTCGGGAGAATCTAGGGTTTCGAGTAATAGCCCCGACCCCAAGTAGAAGAAGACAAAGGGCGGGAGAAGAGGCGCGAAGAAGAGAGCGATGAGGCGGGAGCAGAACAGCGATTCTAGATCTAGGGCTCGAATTCGTGAGGTTTAGGAATCGGAATCGAAGATGAAGCCCGATGTCAGAAATCTCGCCCAAATCCGCTGCTCAAGCTCCGATTTGGGTTTCTATAAAAAACTCATATTGTTGCTACTTTATGGAATTTGTAATCCTAAATTTTTTTTCTGAGCCAAACTCTAGAATAGGATCCACAAAAAATTTAAAATTTACAATTTTACCACTGTCAGACCCCAAATACTAATCCTTTTCTATAAATTGGGTGAAACAAACAGCCCCTTAGAATATTAGGAGGATTATCGTTGACTGATTCCGAATTCAAGGAAGACCTACTGTCAGTGGTAACTAAGGAAAAATAAGAACATTAGAGATACAAGAGGTTACGGAATTGAGACTTTTCGAGTCGTTACGCACTTCCATTTCTCCTAATCATCCAGAAGGGCAGCTCACTCTCAATAATAGTAATAATTAAAAAACATAATAGTAATAATTAAAAAAGATAAACAAGTTAACCAAAGACACCACAAAGTACCCCTCTCCGTTGCTTATAATAGGTTCAATTAGCCATCCGCCGATGACAACAGATTAAAGAATAGGAAGACAGACGCATGAAGAACGAGTTTCAACCACGGTGCAGACTTTACATAATAATAACGTTCCTTACATATAATTTACAACGACATACAAAGTTACCACGATTAACAAAAAAATAGTCAATACGCTGCTATCAGCTATCCATTTTTTTCCCCCAAAAGGCTTCAAATTCTCCGTTCCCGTGTAGTCCTTTCATTCCGGTAGCTCTGAGACAAACAATTTGAAATAGAAGCAAATTAAACTTGTTCATGCAGCTACACAAAAGAAAGTTTAGAGCGCGCACCATCCGCATACAAGAACATTGACCCATAACTGCAGTTTCCTAACTGCTCTCCGCCAGAACAAGCAAAATGTATTTAACCTTATGGGATATCCACAAGTATGTAAAGTTTTATTACCTTAGAAACACGCATACACAATTTCAGATTACCTGTCCCATAGACAACTAGAAGTTCAATCAACCATGTTGAAGACCCAAATATTATTACGATTTTGTACCTTTCATCCACAGAACATCAAAGTAATCATTTGAGCTGAAGGAAACATACAATTGAGTCATTTTCCAATATTTGGAGTGAAAAAAACGCAATGCCATATAACCTGCATCCATGTCGAAGTTAAATGTGTCCACGCCTGGCTTTTTAATTTTACTATAAATTTGCATTTCAAAGTACCAGAAGCTCTATACAGCCATCCATACAAAATGATGCCACTAGCAGTGGGATAAGCAAGCAGTAACATCAAACAATATCTTGCACAGCCCCATCCTTTTTGATGAACTTTGTTCCTAAAAACTGGAACCATCTCATATATAATATAAGAAAGTTCGCATTCCTAAAGAAGTAGGAGTGCGGATCAGGACACAATTAACTTCAAATTTATGCAATTAAAGTTTCCATCTACTAGCGCTTTGAGCATAGTCCTATACTTATCCATTGTATAATACGAAGTGTCATAACTATTGATGTACCTGAAAAAGAATCTCACAACAGCGCTGATATTCAAGCGCATCATATATACATGTAGTGACCAAAGATGAACCAATTTGTCACTTGTTACTGTTCCATTAAATAAGTTAATAAAACTACCGGTAAATGAACAAACATTTTCAAAATCACTGTGTCCCTACAACAGACAAGAAAATAAAACATAGAACCTAAATCTGATAATTATTGCTTAAATCAGCACACAAGTATTTTACTCTCTAAGAATATATCCATTTCTTAGGGCATTGATGAAACCTTATAGTTCAGCACAATTGTTTAGCAACGTCAAAATCATTGAATGTTGCCTAATATCATTACAGTATATGATTAGGGCATTGTTATTCAAGCGTAGCATATAACACATATTCATGCAGTGATCGACGATGAATGAAACTGATCGACATTCGCTTTTCTCCATTAAATAAACATAGCATTACTAGCAGAGGCATAATTCCACTGGTAAATGAACGGCTTGAAAATATGGATGCGTTGCCACAACAGACAAATAAAAAATTGAAACTTAAAATCCAGGTCTTATAACTACGATACGTTATAGTTCTGCACACTGTTTAGCAAGAAGTCGAAACCATTGAAGATTGCCAAATATCATTGTAATATATGATAATAATAGGCAACACATAGGAAAATATATGTTACACACTCCTATAACTCCCTTTCAACTCTCAACTATCTACTAAGTGAAAAATGCATTACTCCAAAATACTTAATGACATTCGGTAATCCTGCCTATCTTAAATGTTTAAGCAAAGAGTGCAGTCAGAGATTTTCACGTAAATTCCTTGCTACGACAAATAAAGGTTTTCATGTTTAATAGTAAACTAAGAAACTAAAGCATACTATATAAAAGGGCAAATTTTCAAAACCACCCTATTTACAAACTAAATCCCAAAAAACGACACCTTTCAACTTTAGTTGCAAAAACCGACCTGGTTTCATCCCCAGAGCTGAAACCAGGTCATTTTTTTGCGAAAAAAGTTCCCAAACTTCACGGGAGTTGAACTCCCGTGAAGTTTAACAGCTATTTTGAAATATTGCTAAACTTCACGAGAGTTAACTTCAAACTGAATTTTCAGCCTCCATGCAGTACGCTGACCCTCTTGACCTCGAACACCACCTCTGCCAGCGGGACTTGAAGACCGAAGGCCGAGGACCACCGGGGAAAGGGAGCGAAGACCTCTGCGGCGGCGGAGCGAAGGTCGAGATCTAGATCTCAGTGGTGACGTCGCAGGGGGGAGGCGGTGGGACTTGAAGAGGGTGAGGACAATGGCGTTGCCGAGTAGGAAGGGGAAGCCGGGGCCGAGGACCACAGGCGCAGGTAGCGGAGGACCAAAGGACGGCGACGGAGGGCATGCGAGCGGAAGACCAGAGGACGGAGGCGGAGAGGACGAGGGCTTCAATGACATCGAAGGACGTAAAGTTCTTCGTGTTCTCGAGAGGAGTGAGGCCCCATGATGATACGGGATCCATTGCTGGTGGAGAGGCGAGAGATTGGATCTGAGGATTGATGGTGGGTGTAGGGATCGAGAGGGAGCGGGTGAGTAGGGATTTATTTATACGGGGAGGATGAGAAAAAACAAACTTCGCGGGAGTCGAACTTCCGTGAAGTTTAGCAGCTTAACAAAATAGTTGTTAAACTTCACGGGAGTTGAACTCCCATGAAGTTTGGAAACTTTTTTTGCAAAAACCGACCTGGTTTTAGCGCTAGGGATGAAACCAAATCGGTTTTTGTAAATAAAAGGTAAATAGGTCGGTTTTGGGATTAAAAGTCCAAATAGGACGGTTTTGAAAATTCGTCCTATATAAAATCCTATACACTCTTATGTACACCACATGCTATCAATTCATAAAGTCTCAAACACAGAAAATTATGACCGTTGGATAAAATATTATAGATAGTTAAGTGTGCTAGTTTCAAATCTAGTGAAGGAATAGGTTCTACACTAACATAACCTGACGCATGGTGACAAATACTTATGAATATTTTCACTTTTCTCCTGAAGGTGTTCAGCATATTAATCATATGCCACCATTCCCCTTTTTTGGCAAATTATAAAAAAATAACTCATATTAATTATCTGTTAGGGATTCAAGGAATAAGGCAGCATACCTCTGTCACAGACACCATGCCACAAGAGAGAAACCTTCAGGATACATTGAATTGTAGCAAAACTTCATTTGAGTCCTTAACATTTGAAAGTCATCAATAGAGATCCCTAACATTTTCTCCGTTATCAAATTAGGTCCTTTTTGATATATTCCGTTATCTATTGCTGACGTGGTAGCTAATTGGACCGTCTTTTCTCTCCTTTTTACCACGTAAGCCCCTACGAGTTTTTAAAATTATAAATGACACCCTGAAAGTTTTCAATACTACAATTAGACCCCTAAAATTTTTTCAAAAGCAACAAGTGATCCCCTAAAAAATTTACAACTACCCCCTAAAAGTTTTGAAAATTATAAATAGCACCTTATATGCTATTTGTAAACTTTCAGGGGGTTGTTTGTAAAATTTTTGAGGGTTTGTTTATAAAAATCAGGGGTCTATTCATAGTTTTTCAAACTTCAAGAGTCTATTTGCATATTTTCTATGCAAGGTCCCCTAAAAGTTCTCTAAACAGCCCTCTAAAACTTTGAAATTTATAAATAACCCCCTAAAATTTTATAAAAACCCTTCTAGAAAATATGTCAACAACTGCTGAAGGTTTGAAAACTATAGATGGACCCCTAAATTTTTACAAACAGACCATAAAAAATTACAAATAGCCCCTTAAACGTTCTAAAAATTACAAATAACTTTTAAAGTGCTATTTGTAATTTTTAAAACTTTCAAGAGGTTGGTTGTAAACTTTTTAGCGGATCACATGTAGTTTTTGAAAATTTTTAGGAGCTATCTATAATGTTCAAAACTTTAAGGATGTTATTTGTAATTTAAAAACTTGTAGGGGGTTACGGGCCAAAAAGGAGAGAAAAGATAGTCCAGTCAACGTCAGCAATAAATAACAGAAAATCTCAAAAAGGACCTAATTTGATGATGGAGAAAACGTTAGGGATCTCTATTGATGACTTTCAAGCACTAAGGACTCAAATGAAATTTGGCTAACACATTAGGGACCTATAGTGAAGTTTTACGTTGAATTGTGATAAGTATGATACCATGTCAGGTGTCCATCAGAATGTTTGAAGTGAAGGCTTTTATAATTTACAAAAGAATGTATAAAAGTTTCCACTTTTTCAAGCGTCTGTATTTGATCATAACATGTAATAACATTTAGAAGCAATCTTTTTGCAAGACTTTTTTGGAAAGATAACTTATCTGTTTGGGATATAATGAATAAGGTCACGTGACAAACACCATGTCTTGTGATTGTATAGGATACGTTGAATTGTGTTAAGTATGATGCCGTGTCGATCAGAATGTTAAGAATTTTAGAATATACAAAGATAAGGGGCACCCAAATGAGTGTACGTATGACATGAGTTATTGCTCTGAAGTAGATCCACAATTTGAAGGTTTTGCAAGTCTGTGAAGTATATCAAGATGAATAGTTAATGCAATTTGCAGTTTTGTATTCTTGGATTTGGAGCGCACACATCTTATTCTGCAAAATCAAATAGTTATAGCATGCAGAAACAAAAAAGATATTTCTCATCGTCATACTTCACAGCTATAAATTGTGCTTCTGAAACATGTACACAATGATGTGGCCATTGTGGTGTGGAGTTGATAGAGGTGATAAGAAATGTGAAGAAATCCTCCAGTTCAATCCTAGAAAGATAGCCACAATTCCAGGGAATTTGCACTAGTTTTAAAACATATGACGTATATTAAGTGAGTAAATGGAACAATTTTTTTAAGTACAAAGAAGGAAGGAATGGAGCTCCTCTAAACAAACCGCATAGTGTTTGAAGATGTCAAATGTATACGTTCTTGCTGATGCCCATGTGTATCGTTTATTTCGCTTATGTGCGTTGACATTGGCTGGTGGAACTTTCAGAAAACAATGAACGATGATAGACCTATTGTCCTATCATACAAGGCTATCAATACTCCCATAATTACTATCATGACAAAGTAATAACCATAAACGCTATTACCATGAATACATATTTCAAGTACCAAAATCAAAACACTAGTTCATCACAAAGAACATTTAAAAAAGATTTCTTTATCCACAACTTAAATTTCATGGAGAGAAAACTAGATGCGACTAAAAAGAACAAAATAACCTGATTGGCAAGATAAAAGCTCTTCCAGCATGTTGAACTACCCGATAAACCTAGTCCACGGTAACAAATACTCCGGGGGTTTAGTAGAAAAAATAACCCTTTAAATCGCACTCAAAAGTTTGAAACCTGCATTGAAGTGCAGAGAATTTCGCATTCAAAAGTACCTCCAAGCAATAATCATAATATATATGCAAGCATGTGAAATTCATGAATTTCGAGTATCCTAGGATCATAAAAGTGAGTAAGTGGGATCGATTCTAAGTTTATCCATCTTCTCCATTGTATTCAATCCAGCCGGTCCTATCTCACAAATTTGTATAACAAATCAACTATACAATTGTCTGTATTGTATTTACCTATAGTTCTTAACTAACGTTTGTTCATCAAACTTCAAGTCCATTTGAGTTTGGTAAGCTTGGATCCTAGGTCCAATCTCATCAGTACAAGATCAAGCATGACCAGAAGGAACCCCAAATGAATTTTGAACCTGTTTCTGACCATTTGTCAAATATTTTTATTTTGGAGACTCTTGAGGTCCAATACAAATCTGAACCTAACAATTTCATTTTAACGTTACATGGAATCTACCTACAATTTTTTAACTATCATATGTTTATCCTAATTGGGTCTAATCTCATTTGAACATGCTCAAACCTAACCAAAATGAAATTCAAAATATATTAACCTGTATCAAGACATTAACAAAATATTTCATTTAAGAGATGCTTCCTACATCCCCTGCTGGTGATAATTGTATGACTTTAAATTTGACTTTAAATTCCCTAATCCCTTGTATATCCCTACAAGTGAGTATTCACAAGTGGAAGCTCCATATATCAGGCATACCTCACTATAACTTTCAATTGTAGCACTAAAGGATATCCAATCCACAATTTCTTACAAGTGCACAGCACCACAGGAAATAAAAAAGAAACTAAACTAGACTAGCATTAAGATGTCATCAGCGACTTGCTAAGACAAAAATGTGTAGAGCTTGTGCATGCTTATTTCTCAAAATTGAATTTTAAATTGGAGAGTTAATCCTAGTTATGAAACTAAAGTTTTAGACCAGAGGGGCATAAATTATGAGAATGTAAAAGTTCGCAATGCTAGCATAGCACATCTTTTAAGGAGCTTTTTCATGAATATTTTATAACTATGGCAATCAACAAAATCCTAGACAAAGCATTAATGATTATATAATAACCAGAATTCCGGCATTATTACAAGCATGGTGACACCCATGACCTTGGCACGCTAGACACCAAAAGATAAAACAGTAGATCTATGCAACATTAATTAATACAGCGTCATTGTGTGCCTTGATTACAGGTAAGTACCGTGTCTAACTTAAAAAATATGATAAACCTACCTAAGAGGCAATCTTTTGAGCAAAGTTCTCATAAATCATTGAAAGTAACATGGAGAAGTATTGACGAGAGCTCAAACAAAGATGAACATATCTAAGAAGATAGTATGGTCTACACATTATCCATATTTCATTAGATTAGGTATAAATTTGCTGAACTGTTTCCTTAGAAATGTGTATACACACAAAGGATGATAAGAGAAAAAATTGCAAAATAACTAGGTAAAGGGAGGGAAAAAGTGAGAGATGAAACAATTAGTTGTATGCAAAGAGGGTTACAATTGTGTGTAGGAAAAATGATGAAAACTTAATAATAACAGAAATATGTTGAAAAGAAGTATATAAAAGGTTTGAACAGACGATGCTTACAACTAGAAATTGTAAAATGAATGATAGAGAAGTATAATAACATCCATGCATGTGTTTGGTGTGAGTGCATGAGCATGTGCACATGGTGAAATTAGCCTAACTATTATTGGTTCATGTCATGTGTCTAATCCAATATTTTCCCCCTCCATTTTGAACCAGCAGCCTAATAATAACATCTGTACATGTGTTTGCCGTGTGTTCATGAGCATGTGCATGATAACCTAAAACTATATTTACTCATATTATGTATCTAATCCAACATTTTGTTCTTTCACTTTGAACTAACGACCTCCTTATCATAACTCCTAGATCTGAGTATCTGAATAACTACATATAAACATAATATGTTCTTGTGAAACCTTATATCATGCATAATTTTCCATATGGATTTCACCAAAATTCATTTCCGCAATAAAATTCTTATTCTAAAACATCCATAAAGGAACTCATACAACTTCTCTGGCCTTGATCTCACTATTTTATTATTAGCTAATATATGCAACATAAAAAAACAATCCACGTTTTTAACTGTTTCAAAGGAAACAGCGCAATACAGATTTCAAGTATGAAGTCCTTAAATAGAACAAAAATGTGGATTTTCTCATTGGCGTATTGCAAGTTTATACCAATACCAAGTTGTATGTTATACCAACCATAGGTTAGGAGCTTGAGGCAAATGGGCATTGACACAAAAATAATACAAGATCAGAGAAATAGGGATTCATCCTCGAGCATATACTATGGTTTTCTATAATAGATATAGAACTATTCTAGGAGATTAAATATTAATTAAACTTGATATTCATCCTTAGCTCCCATTGGAACAATTGTCTTATCAAAATAAATAAATAAATAAGAAAAATTAAAATCAAGCTCTTAAGAAACTAGCAAGTTAGCATATATCTTGTTGTTATATACGAGCTAAATCAACCAACATGTCACTTGCCGAATCAGATTGTTTAAATCTAAAAAGGTGCACAACTGCACATAAACAGAAAATCGCAGTTTCTATTGACTAAATTTAACATCGCCAAGCTTCATTCAAGTTTAATGCACAATAATTTGAGGAAGCCCCGCTTTAAGTCTTGAGATCTCATAGAAAATACATCTGCAACTAAATATTATTGTCACTAGATTTTGAGAGTTCTAAAATGTCTCTAGCATTGTTCCACTGAATTTTGGATCTTACTCTAGACAGCAAAGTATTGTTCCCCGCTGCTTGAACAGACAATAACAAATTCTCTCGACAAGAATTTAACACAGCCAAACTTCATCCAAGTTTTATGCATGATGCTTTGGAAAAGCCTGATTTAAGTCACTGAAAATGTAATAGAAAATACATTTGCGACTAAATATTCTTGTCACTAAGTTTTGAGAGTTCTTCCATGAAAGAGCTTGTATCTGCATATCTAAAATGTCCCTAGCAATGTTCCAGTGAATTTTGAACCTTATCTCTAGCCTGCAAAATATTGTTCACCGCTGCTTCAAACGTCCAGTCACCAACTGAAGAATATCAGCATAGGAAGCCACAAAGCGAAACTGACAGGATTAGAGTATAAATAGGCAGTGACATAACAATATAAAGATTAATGTAAGTTCGATATCATCATTCTCGAGTAAGTCATGATTATGAAAGAAATGATCCATGAAAAGGATAAAAATTTACCTCCGACTATAGAAGGTCAGTTAGCACCAGTCTCACTCAATACAAAAGCCTGGATAAGACTCTGGGCAGCATGAGTCTGTTCAGGGGTCCCAAATATTATAATTACTGTCTCTGTAGCCTCGGGTCCAGGTTCAGTAATAGTAATCTTTGCTTCAGAAATCTGAAAATGGAATTGTCAGTAATAAAATTGAGATAATAGATCAAGCACAATCAGCATAAATAACAAAGAACAACCTCGCAGATACGCCTTAAGCAGACTCCATCCTCTCCGTAAATTGAAGGTACCAGAGCACGTGGAACGACAACGTCTACAGTTGTACTGGTGATAACAGCTTGATGGTTCCCGCTGAAAGAAAACAAGGTAAAGCGGATGATAAGGAAGTTACTAAAAATTAAAGAAATGATTACCAAATGGATCGCAATTACCCTGCAAAGCCGCCAATCTTTCTTCTCTGGGAGGCTCCACCTGGATACTCAGGTAAAGGCATGGAACCACTACCATCTTCCATCATGCCCTGCGGCAAGTTGAAGCTTGGACTTAACGGGGGTGAACACACACACAGAGAGAGCCAAAAAAACAAAAATATTCACAAAGATAAATATCATAGAAGAAAGTTACAGAACTAAAATAAATTAGCGAAAAATTAGTGACATTTATGGCTAGGGAAGTGGCGTCATGGTAGTTTAGGATATAAAATAGATGACAGTTTTGGTGGAGGGACTACTTTTTGCAGAAAATAATTGCAATTTACTGCAGCTAAGTTGGTGTCCCATTTGCTCCCTTCTCCCTCTTCAATTAGGATTGGGGTTAGGGTTATGGATAATGTTAGGGAAATAATTAATTTAGTTATTGTTTATTAAAAACTTCAGTGAATTTAATAATTAGTGGTCCGTTAAGAAAATCAGAAAGTTGCAGGGTTATGTGGGACACCCCAAAGTTTGGGTTGCCTTGGTGGGGAAATTTTCAATTTTTTATTACTTATTTATTATTGTTATTATTATCATTTTTTGGGTTTTTTTTGGGGTGGGGGTGTTTAAGTGCTCACCCATAGTTCAGGCGGTTAAGTGCAAAACCCTGTAAATAACTACAGCTATAAGAAATTGTGGTTGTGCAACATAATTACCTAAGCTGAAAGAGAACATAGGTACTAACCATAAAATCCCCTTTCTTGCAATAGCACTTCTAGTTGTTAAAGATGGCTAGATTCTTAATGCTAGAAAATACTTAATAAATTCCATAATCGATAGAACTGGTTACCACAGTTTTGTCACTTTTCTTAACATTATTTTCTGTTTACAGTTCCGCTCGACTAGGATATTTTGAAATTAAAGAGATGCTTTTCAGCATGCAGCCATTACGGGATATGCTGCCTGTCCAGAGTTCGCAAACACTCGCATAATAAAAGAAGTAATGTGTTTCATATTTTCTTTTTTTACATGTTATATAGGAAAGTTAGGAAATGCAAATAATCGAATGAATAACTAACAGCCCAGGAAAGAACATAAAGAGCACAAAGTAATATGTAGTTCAAGCATTTTTGATTGTATAGGATTTGAGGATAAAACCTGATAATAGAAATGAGCGGTGTTGGAGGCAGCACGATAGATAGTATATACCTGCTTGCCATGCAAAGCTCAAGAAAGTAAAAGAAAGGATAGAATAAAAAATAGCACCAAATGATCAACGAACTTTTTGTACCCATTGAAAAAGATAATTTGCTTCAAAAGATAAAACAATCCTAACTTGCCTGAAAGAAACTATCATCATCAGAATGTTTCATCCAGAAGGAAAAGAAGAAACAAGTAGATACGTGGGTGTCCATGAGCAAGCTGAGTATTCTTTCACACCATTGAGGCGGAAATCCAGGGCCATGAAATTTGTGGAAGCGAAACTCAGGGGCCTACCAACATTATCTTCTGAAACGGAGGGCAAAATTGGAGAAAATTCTCGGGAGATGGATCCCTCTTCCCATGTATCCTGCCAAAAGGAGGATCTGATGGTCAAGGAAGGAAGGGTGTAACAGCGGCATGAATTCAAGAGCAGGAAATTTATCAACGGAAGAGATGATTCTTCAGCTTATCAGTTATCTGAGTAAAGCACCTGAAACAGCTCTAATTCACCAGTTACCATAAACAGAAATAATTTGAAGATAAAGATAAAAAAAAAAAAAAAAAAAAAAAAAAAAACAAATCCAGGTACATAAGAAGAATGAGCACGATAATAAGGAGATAAAATATCACAAATAATGGCGCAAAAAACAACAGGAACTACGAAGATTTAATGCTACCAGGATCAATATATTTTTTCAGCAAGGAATCAAGGGCAGGGATAAGACAGCGCAAAGATTAACGCATATATTACTGCAAGTATAATCACACCTGAACAACATCATAATTTTCTGGCAAACTGCATCCTCTGGCTAGCGTGCTCTTTGGTCAATATTCGAATTTGTGCTCTCGAAAATTTTCCTCATTTCTGGCTATGACAGCACGCCTTGCCGATAAGGCAGCCAATCTGGTTGGAAGAGACAAGAACATAGATGGAAACATTGTTCACACCATCAGGCTCACGCCATGCAGATCCATGTTGCCACACGAAGCGACACCTCCCCTGTGCCGGAGAAAATCATAATAAGAACTGGGAGCTACAACACAAAATGAAGTAATATTAACAATGTATGAGACATACATATTACAGTACCTAAAAAATGTTGTAGTTATTGCATATACAACACACCCAAACAAAGTTCAGATTTTATGATAAAACACAAGCAAGACTCCCAATGCCATATTTTCCTAAATCAGCGTTTAAATAATGATTTTATTAATGGGAAAGTCATCAATGATAACTTGCTGATATTATTAATTATATGCATATTAGTTGTATTTACAGAAAAGAAACTATGAAACCTACCGCTGGACTCAACCGATACTGACTAATGATACGGTCGCATCTGTCTCAGGTAGCAGTCTCATGAGAATCTTAATTTCACACAAGCCTGTATTCATTTATAGAGATTTAACCAATGCTTGCCACGCACCTTCCTATCACTGCTTCCAAAGCTGTCGTTTGAGGCACAACAATCCTGCAATCAGCTGCTCGAAGAAACCTGTCTGAATCCAAAACTTTCGTGGAACTTTGCAAAAGGAGGCATATCAGACATCATATGGGTCTGTTATAAAATGGGGGTCCTTGAGAGGAAGTGGCTGCATAGATGGTATGAACTTCTGGCCTAGGGAACTAGACTGAATGAAGTTAAGAGTGAGTGAGAGGAGGAAAAGGGAGATGAAGAATGGAGCAGACGAAGAAGGAAATAGAGAAGACCATAGAAATGGAGAAAAAAGAGGGAGGACAAAAAGGAGGCCACGGACAGAGACACGTCGGAGGTTTCACAGCGGGAAATGGATCAACGGGGTTGGATTCTTAATAAAGCAGCTGAGAACTAACTGCAGACCTTTCCTTGCTGAAGCAGTTACTCCAGTGATCTGCAAAGAAAAACGAAAGGTAATAGCCATAAAAGACTACATAGATATTTCTTACCACTTTCTGCCTCTCGTTCAGAGAGTACATAAGGAAAATAGAAAATTATTCTTTCCAAAAAAGACAATTAAAAAGAACAACAAACTTTTAAAGTTAATGTAAACTAACATACTGAAATTCCTTGTTTGATTGTATTGACTTAAAAAGCAAAGAAATAGAGTTTAAACAAATTCAATGTTATCTTGGACCATATCTTAGTTAAAAGTCAAAAGAGAGTAACATATGCCTACTTCGGATAATGCGAAAATACATTAAAATTGAACACAAAACACATAATGATTGCTCCGTCAGAATCACACCTTAAAAGCACGTTAGGTTACCCTGCACGATTTCATCGTTTGCTGAAAAGCACAAAGAAGGAAGTTTCTGACTAGAGAATTTGTCTGGGCATCGCCGACTATCAGAAAACCATTTGCTTGATTACACTCCCGACCATTCGGCCTACAAGGTGAACCCACCTGACTAACTGAACGAGCAATCTAACAGTAACACCAAAGTCCTTAACTTGCTTCTTCCTTAAAAGACATCAACCATCCTTTTGGTTCAACTTCAATAATTCTCTAAAAATGACAGGAGAGCCAGTTTTGTCTGATGATGCTGACTTGTCAAAGACTTTGAACCTTCTAAACAGAAGCGAATCCTACTTTCTACTTCTTTTATCCTCACCGACTTAGTCTTGTCGTCCTGATCACCACAGAACTCCACCAGCATTTCGTCACTTTTTCCATTGCATTTTCAGCTGCTAACTTCCAATATTCTTATCCCAGCCTGTTAAAACAATGAAATTCTGCTCTTCACATCCAGGGATAAATCTCTTCGCAGTCTAAACCTTCGCAACACGCTACTCTGGCAGTATCCTTGATACAATGCCTACCACTTACCAATAATGCACCAGATTTTGAAGCGGGACAAAGAACGGCGAAGACAACAGCTCCTGTGGCAATCTGAGATGCAGAATAGTCACGTTTTTCCGGCCACTTTCCACCTTCCATTTGGGTCGAAGGCATGTTTTTTACAAAAGGATCTCTTGAAGGCAAAAGACATGGGCTTTGCAAATCATTAGAACTCGTTGAAGTCTCTGTGCGCAAGAAGAAGATAATAGGTCTAGACAAGTGTTAAAAGATGCTATACAAGTATATAAAATTCTTGACTTAAAAACAAGAAAAAAACGTTATCAATTCATTAAAACCAGGTCTAGACTGAAGCTATTTTTTTCTAAATGCTAAGAAAACAATCAGGGAGGAAAAGGTTTATGAGTTTATCACTTTTGGCAACGTACTATATAGAAATCATTCAAGGCTTTCCTCTCATCGAGTATATTTCTCATAAAAAGCAACCGTGATGATTACTTAGTATAATGTAATGAGAAATATCTGCAGTGTTAGGTCAAAATTAATGCATGTCTTACCTTATAGGTTAAGTGTTTTTATTTTTGTCCATTAACATGGTATGGTATAGCAGCAGATTTCTAGAGGTCCTTGTTTACACCAGAAATTTGATATTTTTCATGCACCCATTAAATCTAGATTTTTCAGCGGGCGAACTACGGTGACCTGCCAAAATGGTGTATCACGCCAAATGAGCTTATCAAAGTTTGCATAAAAATGGTTTCTGAACATTCTTAAAGAGAAACACGTTTTTATTTAAGGACAATATAAACAACAACATATGCTGGCTGTCTAATAACTTGTCTACTAGATATAGGTCATCCTGACATCATATGAGCCGCGATTGGAAATTTTACTTGTGTACACATCAACACAAAAAGCCAAAAAAAGTCCAAACCATGTAATATTAGCTTCAATAATGTAGACATATTCTAGATCATGAAAACAAAAAGTCAAGTCATATGTTGAAGCGGCGTGCATTGATTAAAGGGCAGAAGCTAGACTTAAATCATTATGCTAAGCATATACATTCAAATATATAGACACATGCATGTGCACCGCGCAGTGCACACAACAGACATATGCAGCTACACACATATATACACAAAAGCACTCCCACATATGAGACCGCTGATATGGAAATTTTATTAATGTGTATGTCAACAGTACACAAATACAGAAAAGGCGTCCAAACCAAATAGCAATAATACTTCATGCAAAAATCGTAAGGTTCATAAAACTTAGATTGTACATCTCTAAAATCATAAGCAAGAATCAGTTAACGCTTTGAAGTGTGTTAGCATCAATTAAGGCAAACCGACTTAAATCGTATGCTAAACATGACATTACATATATGTACAACACATACATTCATCAGATATATGTATGTACGCATGCAATTATCAGTTGTCTGTGTTTTTGCATGTGCATGTGCAACTCATGTGGCAACCATATACTCCAAAATTAAGGAAGCATATGAACTTTTGAATATGGACATTTTCATAGTAGTATATTAGTAAACTTTATCTATTCCATTAATAACAGCAATTCATACACAAATAGATGTGTTAAATTAATAATGAATTTTGGTTGGGCTCCGAGTATTGAAAAGGCAAACTTCTAATCCATAAAAAGAAGGAATATTCCCTTCCTATCCCATCTTCAACGATACTTGACTTGCAATACGGAGCAACCGTCATGAAACCTAGTAAGAAACACTAGCTAAAGATTGACTTTATAAAAAACATTGACAGATAGTCAAAAAAGAAGAAATCATAAGAATATTTTCTCAGATATTTTTTCATTGATTATAGAATTGTTTTAAGAATAACCCATAATAGGTGCATGACCACAAAACTTCACCCAACACGACCTTTAACGAGTAATAGATAAAAATAGCCCATTGCCAAAAAAACCTCCATTAAAAGCAAAACGCAGATTCCTCATTTTCAGATACTTTTTTGTTGCTTCTATCAGAAATTGTTTAAAGTAAATGCATTTATCTTCCATAAATGGTATATGATTAAAAATAACTTTAGTAACCATTAAAACTAGTTTAACATAACCCCCTAGTCTGCCAAAAAACACATTGAAACAATAACAATCTCTTAACCAGACCGTAGATAGAAAGCATGAACTAAAACAGACAAAACCTAACAATTTGCAATAAAGGCTTCCTTGTTTCTTTTCTTTTAGCTTCTTCATACTACCAGTCAGAGCATGCCTACTACACGCTCATTTGACACCAACCACTACAGAAACAATGGAATAGGTAACACAAAAATGTAGAAAACAAAGAAAAACGCGGGGAATCAACATTAGCAAGGGTAAAGATTTTAACACCAATTGTTCAAATTCAGAAAACCAGCGACGAATGCAGCATTTAAAAATCTTAATAAATTCTTTTTTTAAGTACTTCTACTTGATTATACGCAATTTATTAACAAGGTAATTCGAATACTAAATGGCAAAAAAGAAAACACCAAGATTTAAAAATATAGTAAAGCTCATTGAACTAACGTACCAACCGGAATTCACAAAAGACAAAGACAACGCAGTCATAAAAAAAACTAATTAAAAAGACAATTTTTTTAAATACTTCCACTGATGCCTATATGATCGTTAAACAAATCTGAAATAATAAAAGCAGCTTGTATATTCACAAGTCAGAAAGGACGCAATGATAAAAACAAAGGTCAAAGAAAACCCAAGAAATCCCCCCCACCCCACGCTAGAGCTATTGAAAAACGCCGCAAGATTGAAGTAAATGTAGGAACTTCGCAGCGCGGAAGCAAAGCCCTAAACGCCTAAAGAAGCGCTTTTAGAATTCAAGATAAGAAAAAAGGATTGAGGATACCGTCGATGAGCAACGTCGCTGAGAAGAGACCGAGAGAGAGATCGGTAGATTTGAAAGGAAATGATTAGGTGAGATTAGGGATCGGAGCTCCCGAATGCTTGAGTGTTAGAGAGAGAGAGATGAGAGAGCAAGGGCAATTAGAGTTGAAGGAAACCGCTATTTCTAGCCGCATCTATTATACAGTTCAGCAATATCGCATCATCCGTATCTCTAAATGGCGCACCCGGATTTTTATGTTAGAGATAAGAGAAACTAATTCGGTAAGTTACAACATTTTTAAACTTGTCTTGCGTTGTGTGATTTTTACCTTTTTCTTTATCCTAGTCGTCCAAACACGCTCTAAAGATATTCTTAAATATTGAAACATATAATAAAAATAAAATTTCGTTTTAGATATGAAGTATAGTGGGTGGAAATGAACCGAATAATTAGAATTTTCATTCATCTGTGAAAAATACTAATTAGAATTTTAAAAAAAAAAGAGTAAAAAATAATACAAGTTTAATATTAGTCTCTTAATAGTTTAATATCTTGAAAACTGGTTTCCCATAATCGGTGAAGTTGCTATTAGGTTGTATTATTCCAAATAATGATCGAAATTAGCGTTGTTCTTATTAAATTTGATAATAGTTTCCAGCAAATTTCCCTAGTAGTTGTCAAATCCAATCCCAGTCCAATTAAGAGTAGAAGTAGCATTCGAGGGGTTTATTTAAAGGCACCATTACGAAATAGTAGGCCTAATACGATTTCAATCAATGTGAAGGTTTTAATTTTAAATAATTGGGGAACCTAAATATCATGAGTTTCATCCCGTGCTAGCACGACATCCTTACAGATTATTTTTATGCGCAGTTTTTTATGCATCTCAAGTTTTTTGTTTTGTCACGATAAATTTATCTAAACATACTTGAAGTTCATCATATATAACCAATGAGGATAATTTGTTTGTCACGAATAAATTTAAATCTTAAACATACTTGAAGTCATCATATATAACAAGATATAAATTTAATCATATATTCACCCAATATAAAATCACATGATAAGATTCGAATTTGGGCAGATAAGTGAGTAACACGGGAAATGAAAGCAAGAAACAACAATGTACTAAATTTCTTCTTTAATCGTTATTATCATATAATTCAAATCGCAATATAAGTAACACGAACCTCTTCTTTTCATTCTAACCATTTAACCCTTCATTCTATTTGTTATATATGTATCTTCTTGATTGCTCTAACAATTGAGATATATAGAGATGGTGACGCAAGCCGATAGATCAAATAAAGTAAAGGAGATGCGTGGAGAAAAGCACGACGTTGATCAAAGGACCAGCATTTTGTACGCATACTCTGAATCGACAAACGACCTGCTAATGATGAATATTGATTAGATTTATAGTTGCTTCCATCTTACGTTAGGGTAAGAACCTTTGAAGTCTCTCTTGTAATTCAGTTGCTCGTAATAATGAGTAACATAACCTACTTTAATATTTTGTCATTTGTCTTTGTTTCACAAGTTTCATGAAAATTCAAAAAGGCATAGATAACAGGCAAAAAGTATTTACTCTTTCCAACTTTTTCATAGCATCTTTGTACCTTATTATCCGCAGTAAATTAAATTTACC